TTCAGACGTGTGCTCTTCCGATCTCCCCAAAACCCCAAAACCCCTTAATCTGTTATTTTACATAAATATGGTTATCTTAAAAATAAATTCATTTATAAATTTTACTCCAAATATTAACGCTTGGTATGTAGTATTAATTTCATCATGCCTTCTTCTTTTTAGCTTTTTTCCCTTTTGCTGCTTTTTAAAATGGATTGACCATAAGTCCAATAGTCATAGGATTAATTTCTCTTTGCTTTATGGATGTGTCTGTATCACTAGGTAATAGAATAGCCTTCTTAAGAGTATTTAATGATACAGCCATTCGATTTGTTCTTTAATTCACTATATTTTTGCTAGACAGGTTCTTATCACTCTCTGTCTTCAGGTTTAGTTTTCCAATCGAAGACTGTCTTGATAAATACTGAGAAATCGCTTTGATCTCTTGAAGCTACTCAAGTAAACAGCCTCCAATATGAGAGTTTCTGTCTTCCAGCACTACTTTATTTTAACCAATTGACAATCTTTAGGGTCTGGTAGAATATCCAACAGTTTTAGGTCTGAAATCAGTGAAATTATTACTCTGTTTATCATTCAATGCGAATAAATCCTCTGGCTGAGTATACTCATTAATAAGTTTTCTATTTTTTGTTGAAAATACACTATTTATTTTTTCAGTTGGATGAAGGCCAGTGAGATTTTATTTAGTTGTCACAGGCCTATTATATAAACTCATAGTTAAAGTATCAGGTTAATCCTAAATAGTAAATATGTTATCAAGAACTTCGTCATTTTGAGGCTTTGAGTTGATACTTGCTCTGATGATATCACCTTTAGTTTGTCTTATTTTAAGGATTTTTAATTTTTTCTAATCTATACCCACTAATGAGGCTGCATTGACTGGAGGTTTGACCTTCTTTTTAGCTACCCTTCCATCTTCTGTCTCTTCTTCAGACGAATCCTCTTCCTTGGTTAGTTCTATCCCTTCTATGTTTGATCCAAACTTTTCTTAGTCCTAATTTTCCACATTATATTCATCTTCAGTTTTCTTTTTACTTGTAAAATCTAGTATCTAAGCGATCTTTGGCTTTCTTTTCTCTGGCTTTTTAACTTCCTCAACCACTACCTCTTTTTAATTCTTTTTTCTATTATCTTGATACTCATAATCTTCATCACTGTTTACTCTGTATTCATCATAATTATCATCACTTCTTAAATCATTATTTTCATTATCATAGTCATAATCTACTACTCTCATTTAGCTGGGCTTTTAAATTACTAATTTTTTCTGAGCTTCTTTTTGTTTTTGCTCCTCCTCGTAGTCTGAGTTCTTAGTTGTATTTAAAGAAGACTAATCACTATCTAAAAACTCATCTTAGTTTTTGTATATCTTGTTAATGTTTACTTTTATAGTTGATTTCATGACTGCTAGCTTAGTTGGATCAGATATAAGTCTCATTCTTTCTTGTTTGCTTGATATCTCCTGCTATATTCTCTACTTAGCTACACTCCATTCCTTCAGAATAACTTATTTTTCCTCATCAGCTCTTTTTTCTTAGAGTTGTTTATTTGCATTTGCAAACCAATACTTGGTCAATCTCAAATCATCTTCTGTAGATGAAGGTCCTACTGTGTAGAAATTCGAAATAGAATCTAGGTTCTAGAAATCTTAACCTCTGCTTTTACTCTCAATAGTAAAGTCGATGGGTAAGTAACTCAATTGTTTCTGAGAAATACTATAGTCTTAGAACTTCACATTTTTGAAAGTATAATTTTACTATGTTTATGGTCTAATAGATGATTGGAGGACTGTTTAAGTATCTATCATAGAGTTTCTATCATTATTACTTGCAGCATTATTTAAATCACTTTTGAAGTTTTATGGACTGAAAAATGATTGAGCTGAGTGGCCAGGTGACATGAAAGAGGCAGCTGAAAAATTCCCACTAGTCATCATTTTATTTGCTGTTTGAGTAGTACCAGGCCTTAGCAAGGAGCTTGTCATTGATAGTCTATTCCCTACATTAATGGTAGCAGCCGTATCAGGCCTGGTTACATTATTTGCAATGTTCGTTACACTTGATCTGTCATTTATCGATAAAACTCGCACAGGATTAATTTTGCTATTTTATGTTTAACCGCTGACCATTGAATCTTATCTAACTAGTTGCCTCCTTTTAAATTCAAATATCCTGTCTTTAGCTGGTTTTACACTGTTGTCCTGAGTTCTAGCATCGACATCGAACTTTATCTTCGATTTTTTTGTTGTAAGTATATATTTGTCAAAATCACTCAGAGATTAGTTGCCTATCATTGGAGACATTAATAAAGTATTGGGACTCATACTCTGCCTAAATACTGACTGGCTGCCTGATTTTACCATTTAATCAATATCTTCAACGATTAACGATTGAAAATTTTATGAAGCTCTCAAATTAGAATCCATATCTGATATTAAATCCCCTTTGCCAGGTGATATTTTTGTGTCATTCTAGGGTAATCCCATCATTTTCCTTCTTTTTAGTTCAAACCATTGATAAATTTTGTTTAAGTTCTTAACTTTTAAGTTATATTCATTTACCCTACTCCAATGCAAAATCATGTTTACAAGGGATTTATAGAAAATGCTGATATATGACTAATGATTATGACATTCTGCAGAGGAGTAGAAGTTAGATATTGCATTTTTAATTTTGATAAATTATTGATTATCGTTTAATTCGGGCAAGTCTAATCTAACCATTAGCCTTTGCACATACGTTAGATTTCTGTCATAAGTTTCATTTTAAGACCTTTAACTCAGATTTCCAGTAATTTGTTTACCCTCCATGGATGATGGTTAAGTTTAATTGGCAATATTTATGTCTTGTTGGCTAAAACCTCTTGTTATTTTCTTGCTTAATCTGCGTTAGTCGCTCATTTAAGAGTATTACAATAATATATTCGATTGAATATTTTATTTATTTTCTTAACCTAGGAACTTAAGTCTCATGGGGTTTTGGGGTTTTGGGGTTTTGGGG